ACACACACCACACACACATATACATACACATACATACACATACACATATACATACACACATGCATACATACATACATAGATACATACATAGATGCATACATATACATACATAATACACACACACACACACACACACACACACACACACACACACACACACACACACACACACACACACACACACACACACACACACACACCTACTCACTCACTCACTCACACTATTGAAGATAAGGATATTTAAATGTACATGTATTTAAGTTTGTATCAGACCTAAAAATAGGAGTAGAAAAATAAAAGATAAAAAGGAAGAGACTTATGTGACAGGTAGTGTAACAATTTAAAAGAAAGGATAAAGAGGAAAGCAAAAATTGAACTATTCTGTCAAAGGAAAAGAAAATACTCATCATACACGGATCAACAGGTCTCCACAATAATGCGTATCCCGGCCACATTTCACGGAGTTCAAGCGACCTCCGCAGCCATGCGGCTCGATCACACTCTCGCACACCATCAATGGATCTACGGCACTCACGCAACTCTTCTGCTGATTTGAACAAGTTCTTCAAAACAGAGATTGGTGTTTTGAATAATGTTGGGCCTCCAGGTGTGTGATTATTATTTTTTTTGTGTATACTGTATATTTTTTTTTTTTTTTTTTTTTAATTGTTTGTGTTACCTTAAATGGGGAGAAGGAGTAACAAATCATTGATGATTAAAGAAGAGGTAGTGCCCAACTCATTGAAGGTGTATGTACATACAACAGCTTTTATTCCTGTCTATTTTGCAAGCCCATGTCTTTCCATAGGAGCGTTTATTTGTTGGTTCCTCCTAAGACAGCCCTTTGTTCCTATTGATATATTTTGCTGTATATTGCAAAAAATTTGGTAGAAAGATGCACTCACCCAGATAGTGTTTATTCCTTTGAATAGCAGTGATAATTGTTTGTGGAATGAAACTCATGGAAAGAAAATGTTTAATCAGCATATTTTACCTCCCTCCCTCCATATCCTCCTTGGTTTTCTGTTTTATATATATCTTTTTTTTGTAGTGATTTGATTGTTATCAAAGATTAGTTTACATTATCAATGTGATAAGGTTTAGAATAGTAATTGTAAAGCATGTAATGTGATGAATGTACTTCCAACTTGCTATACAAAATTAGTAGGAATGAAAGCATATTTTTGATACAATATGTGATAAACCATAATTCATTATATCTGTTAAGTGGTCATTTTGAGGCTTAATTCTCTAAATGAAATTATTTAAAACCAGGGAAACAGTTGTAGCTCTCTAATGAATTTCCAAATATGTGAAAGTAAAGAGACCAGGTAACATAATTGTGGAGGGACTTTTAATTTTCAGGTTCAAGTTGGGTTGACCCACTTCGTGTGCGGATGGTCAAAGCCCACCATAACTGGATCCTTGTTGCGTATGCACACTTCGTCACTTGTTACAGGTGAGAAGATAGAAATGATTTTTAAGGAAGAAGTTATACTTCCATGTGAAACAGATCCCCCTTCCTGGTTGTCCCAAATGTTCAGGTTAAGTTTAGTTTTTAAAGTTAATAATTGTGCTTTGTTTTTATCCATCCCTCAAACTATTTAAGGTTATGATCATGTAAATCTCATAAGGTAATATAATATGAAATATTATTAGAAAAGAGAAACATGTTTCTTTATTGAGAATATTTTGTAAATTCTGTATATTTTATAAACATGTTTCTCAACTATAGATGCTATACTTTACAAGTATATTATATATTTGATTATTTTACATTTTTTATATTTTTTATACTTATTTTTTTGTATTATGAGTGCATTTTTATTTATTGTTTTTCTACTATGGACTGATTATAAGTGTTATGATCCATATTAAGACCTTTTTGTTTCTTCCAAAATTGTCAATATCTATTAATAGAACTGCCAAAATCTTTTTAAAATTTATTTTTTTATGTATTAATCTTCTTATTACATGCCAACATTAAAGTGCTGTCAATCGCTGGTGAGTGTGTGTACTAATAGTAGTTTCCCAATTTGTAAAAAAAAAAAAAAAAAAAAAAAAAAGAAAGAGAAAAAAAAAAAAGTAGGAATTTTCATGTCACATTTTTTTTTCTTCTTTTTTCTCTTTATTTCATGCATATGAGGATTATTACAAAAAAAGAAAAAATCTGTGAAATATTTCTGAGCCGCTGATCTGGATTGAGCTAATGTTTTCCCGAATTCCAGGAACAAAGATAGCACAGGCTGGCAGCTAGCTTTCACATCCCCACACATTGACCAGCTGATTGAGCGTGCGGCTTTAAATGCCAAGCTGTCTCCTCCCAGCCAAGGCGGTGAGGCAGGCCAGAAAATGCTTGCCATTTCCTACACTTCACACATAAGGTTGTGGGGCATCTCAGAGGATGGGACGCGGAATGACATTGGTGAGCTTTTTATGGTTGCCTTTTGTTTATTTGGGCTTGTATTTCATTTGTTTTGGTTTAAGTTTACATCAGTTCCTGTTTGAAATTTTGTAATGGAAACTACATGTTTTGAGAGTGGAAAGGTATGAATGAGAACGAATATCTTCACAATACAAGAGATGTATTTAACCAGTTTCGATTATATCTTCGTCAGAAATACGTCATGTATTTTTGACGAAGATATAATCGAAACCAGTTAAATACATCTCTTGTATTGTGAAGATATTTGTTCTCATTCATACTTTTCCACATTTGTCAACATGAATACCGTTCATGTTTTGCGAGATCAAGCAATTACAAAACCTTTTCTCTAGCATTTCTGTTGTAGATTACTCCCTAGTTTTTGCTTAGTATTTATTAGTTTCTATTTTTCCTACACAGAGACCCCCAGTTTAGCCTTTTGCTGAATGAGGATTCAAACAATGATAATTTATCTAAAGATGCCTTTTCTAGAAGCAAATTCTTTAAGTTGAATATTTTTGAAAAACTAGAATGGACATATGGTAATACATATGAAGGTTCGTACACCTGTTGTACTAGTATAAATTGATGTTACTTCATTTTCTATATTGTTTATCTTATAATTTGATGGGTCTACTTCAAAAATCTCCTGTAATCTAATAGGCTTTGGCAACCAGTGACATAATATTTTTGTTAAATATGTAAAAATAAAGGAGTTATGACTAAATCTCTGCCCCCCTCCCCCTCCCCACCACCACAAGAGAGCCAGAGCGGGAGGTTACACATCTGTTGCCTCGGCGTGACACCATCCCATACACGTACCCCTTTAGCACCCTCATCACACACTAAGAGGGCACTACTGATGATAGATGTTATCCCTGTAGCTAATAAACATAATATAATGAGAAATACATCTTAATCACAGCTGCAGCAGTTGTTTATTCATATGAAATGCCTCACGAGGCACTGTGAAGCTTGTGATGACACGGGGTACTTCTATAATCATGCGCAGTTATTGCCAAACCCCATTCTAATGGGATTTGGATCATTTGAAAGCTCAGTAAATTTGCGATTTTCTCGATGATCCATTTATCATATTTTATATAGATGTCAATGAACATTTTTTTTTTTTTTACACTAAACTAAGAGGAAATTTCAAATTCAAATCGTGTCTATTATAGGTATTGCTATAGAGCATATGTGGTAATTTTTTTAACAAGTTCGGTCAATGGATAAGTGAGATTTATAATTTATAATTTTTTTTCAAAAACTTTTTTTTTTCTTTAAATAACTTCATTGTTGATTATCCAAATGATATGAAAAACGGTTTTGTAAATTGTGGTATATGTATATATAACATTAAAAAATTGCGATAGTTGGTAGTGATTCAGGAGCAAAAAGGGAAAAAATGTTTATCAACTTTATTTCACAAAGAAAACTCACATTAAAAGGCTCTACACAGTATATATAGCTTAACCCAGTGGATCCAGATGCTTCTCTGCCATCATGTGGCCTAGGATACAGGCATTAGCCATACTTGAGTGGCCACTCTGATAGATGTGTGGCGTGTAGGGTGGTGTCACACAAACACTCATGTAGGGTGACAAGACTCTATGCCTCCCCTTTGCAATGTTAATTTCTCTTTTTCTGCATAAGCATTTTTAGCTTTTCTGCCATTTTCCTATGTATATATTTGTCATTTGATTTGCTTTACCCAGATGGTAATAGTCTGTTTTCCTTGCACAGACTCCATATCATGTATCTATGTCATGGTTTCTCCAAATGGTTGATATAATTTATGAAATAAACTGAAGAATATAGGACACTGTAAGATTATTTTAGATTAAATTAATCCCTTGAATTCAGGCACAAAATTAAAATTTCAATGTCTTGGGAAATATCAGAAACTGGCAACATTACCCTCAACCAATACCCCCCCCCCCCTCATCATTATCTCTCATAGCTTTCCTGTCCATTGGGGATATATTCCTGTCTGCATCCCATTCTTAGCAAGTGATCATATCCCACCCCCGTATCTCTCACATACAGGAGTGCTTGTAGTTCAGTATGCTCTCAGCTTGCAGAACTGTTGTCTGTAGTCTTTTTTGTGACTTGAAGTTAAAAATGGTGTGTAGTAGACATAATAGCTGCTGTCCACTTTTCATTATATGGTTTTTCAAATATTACTACAACTCATATTGATTTTATCTTCATACTTTTTTTGCTCTAGTTGAATTAAAAGTTGGGGTTTTGAGGGTCAACAAGTAAAAAATTTTGAGAACTCCTGCTCTAGGTAGTGCATAAGTCAGTGCAAAAGCAATAACATTAAGTAAAGTTTTGTTATCTGTGCCATTTTTTTTTCTTTTTTTTTTTTATGATATTCAATTATTTTGGTAACAACCTGCACCGCTGCTCAGGGCAGCCAAAAATTGGATCCTGAGCATGAAAATAACATCCTTCCTGGAGGTGGGGCTCTTCCAGTCATGGATCATAGACAGTACATTCCACACTCATTTATTGATGGAAGTAATGCAAAAGCCCCTTGCTAAATGCGTCTAATGAGTCTAATCACCCATCGAGAGCTTTGTGCCCTCGAAGTGAGCCATCCCCATCACCCAAAACAGCCAAATTTTCCCATTATGGCATGTTCATGTTGCCTGTCCCTCAGGCCAATTTTGTTCACAACATAATGGTCACATCACATAGAATAGGGGTTAATAATTTGCTAGCCCACACAGCCTTCTTATCCCAGTTTAGATATATCCTTTCTAGCTGTGTTAAAAACTGAAAATACAGAAAAAAACTTGTTACCCCTGTGACTGTCACTAGGCAAGAGAGATATTTAAATAAACGGAACACTCAGTGAGTAGGTAATGTTAATATCATGTAATTAGCTATTACTATATCCCATTACCTACCCACAGGCACCTTCAACCTGGGAGTACCTGTAGAGTATTTGTTCTTCATTGGGTCACAGCTAGTGGCTCTGTCATCGGTAGGGAAGATTGGAGTGTGGCATGCCATGACCCAGCACTGGCAGATTCAAGAGGTCCTGCCCATTGCCTCCTTTGACACAGCTGGCTCTTTCCTCCTCCTTGGATGCACTAATGGTTCAATCTACTACATAGGTACAGAAATGCTGTTGTGATGTTAAGGGAAGTGGGCTGTTCATTTTATAATTGAGATGTGAAGGAAGATTAGGTAACGTGGTCAAATATTGTGTCACATGAAGTATAGAAATTCAATCTCTCCTCTCTCTCTCTCCTCTCTCTCTCTCTCTCTCTCTCTCTCTCCTTCTCTCTCTCTCTCTCTCTCTCTCTCTCTCTCTCTCTCTCTCTCTCTCTCTCTCCCTCCCTCCCCTCCCTCTCCCTCCCTTCTCCTCCCTCCTCCCTCTCTCCTCTCTCCTCCTCTCTCATCTCTCTCTCTCTCTCTCTCTCTCTCTCTCTCTCTCTCCCTCCTCCTCCCTCTCTCTCCCTCCCCCCTCCCT